TTTACTATGGTTGCAAATACGTATCAAAAAATTTCTATATGTGACACGGCACCAGAGTTAAGTTAGGGTTTTTCAAAATGCTGACACGTCGAGCTCAAAAGGTTCGCCGTCACTGATCTAGAGTCTCAAAGGTTTCTGCAGCAGACAATGAAATCGGACCCTTATCTGACGCCATGCACAGAAATCAACTCGAAGTGGACTGAAGACTTCAATGTCTGACCTGAAACCATAAAACTCCCAGGAAAAACCACAGGGGAACGCTCCCTGGCATGGGTCTTGGCAGTGAAGTGTTGGATACGACACCAAAAGCACAAACATAAACACGGGGGATCACATCACACTAGAAAGCCCCTGCCCAGCAAAGGACTAACAAAATACAAGATAACCCATGGCCCGGCCGGCGGTGGTCGTGACTGAGCCACCTCACCTCTGTGCCCCCTGATTTCTCAGCTGTGGGATTGGGGCAGACTTACCCACCCACATGTTCACGAAGCTCAGATGAGGCAGAGTAAGTGAAATGGTTTTGTGGACTGTAGATAAAACTATGGATAAGCTAGCTGTTTTTTTTTACAATGAAATGGGAGAAAATATTTGCAAACCATATACTAATAAGTGGTTAATATCTAAAATATCTAAGGAACGCATACAACTCAATAGCAAAAAAATAAAATAACCCCATCACCCAATGACAAAATGGTCAAAGGACCTGAGCAGACGTTTCTCCAAAGAAAAGCTCTGCAAATGGCCAACGGGCACATGAAAAGGTGTTCAACACCACGAATCAACAGGGAAATGCAAATCAAAACCACCAGGCAACGGTACCTCGCCCGGAGTAATGGGTATTCTTAGAAAAGCTAAGTGTTGGCGGGGACGCGGAGAAAAAGGGAGCCCTCTGTTGCTGTGGGTGGGGATGTCAGTTGGTGCAGCCGCTGCGGAAAACAGCACGTGTCCTCTTAGCATGTTGCCAGAAAGATCCGGAATGTGTTCACAGATAAAGTACATGATTGAATGAATAATGTAAAACATGGGTCTAGAAGAGCGCCCCGCCCCCCTCCAGCTACTCCCTGCAAAACTGGCCTTCCCTGTCCACCGAGTTCACAGCCTCTATTCACAGCAGCTCAGAGGCGAAAGCAGCCTGTGTCCATCGGCATGTAAATGGATAAACAGTGTGGTGGCTGGGAGCACACGGCTTTGCCTCCCGGTAGCTCGGCTCCCTCACGCCTGCAATTAGGTGACCGGAGAACAAGGCTACCGGCTCCTGGGGTTGCCTTGAGGGTCAGCAAAGTGAACTTGGGGCTGTTATTATTACTCATCTGGGTGCTTTGAAGTGCATTCCTCCTTCAAGCCACTTCCTAGCATAAGCTCAGGTGCTTGTGGAGGGGTGTGTGTGGGCACACAAAGGTTCAGGTCGCTCCTGCGCTGGGTTGAGCCCCCTCCGTCCCCTCCACCCTCCTGCATCCCTCTCCCACCCCTAACTCCCCCCCGCCCCTTACTTGGTCCACATGATGGACGACTCGCGGCTCTCCTCCGACCAGATGCGGGCGGTCCAGTCGCCCACGGTCAGGAAGTTCTTGGGGTAGAAGGGGTTCCTCTGGAGGGCGTAGACGGGGCCGTGGTGGCCAGGGAAGGTGCACACGATCTTCTCGGCCTGCGTCTTGGCCTTGCGGTTGCAGGAGATGACGATGCCTTGCTCCGTGCCCACCATGAACTTGGTCGGCTGCGGAGGGGGTGACACAGGGGTGGGTGGCTCCGTGAAACATCAGCTCGGGGTTGCGCCGGCGTGGCCAGCAGCCTTCTGGGGTTTCAGCCTCTGCTCAGGCTGTGTCCCAGCTGCTCCTCGGGGGCTGCCCCCACTCTTCCCATCTTCACCGGACCCCACCCTTCTTGGGAACCTGCTCGAGGGCCCTGTGCTTGAGGGAGGCCCCCGACTCTCCGAGCTCTGGAGGCTCTCATCACCAGCCCTCTTCATGCAGCACCATTGTGTCTGCAAGGCGTTCTGCCATAAAGACCCCGAATGTCTGTTCACCAAGTAGGTGATTAAATGAATAATATAAGACGTGAGTCCAGCTGCTCCCTGCAAAACTGGCTACACTGTCCACCCAAGTTCTCGGCAGCGTCATTCACAGCGGCTCAGAACGCCACCCAGTGCCCAGCGACAGAAGGTGCATAAACAGAGTGTGGTCCATTCCTACAATGGAGTATTATTCAGCCTTAAAGAGGGAGTAAATGCTGACACAGGCAAGCATGTGGATGAACCTCGAGGACATGACGCTAAGTGAAATAAGCCCGTCGCAAAAGGACAAGCACCATAAGAGCCCACTTAAAGGAGGTGCCTGGGGAGTCAAATTCAGAGAGACAGGAAGTAGAAGGGGCGGGGGCAGGGGGCGGTGGGGAGTTGTTTAAAAGGTACACAACTATTTTCAGTTTCAGTTTTGCAAGATGAAAAAGTTCTGGAGACCCGTTGCACAACAATGCGAATGTACTTAACACTACTGGATTGTACACTTAAAAATGGTTAACATGGTAAATTTTATGTTAGGTTTTTTTTTTTATAAAGATATTTTTATTGATTTCAGAGAGGAAGGGAGAGGGAGAGAGAGAGAGAGAAACATCAATGATGAGAGAGAGTCATGGATGGGCTGCCTCCTGCACGCCCCCTACTGGGGATCGAGCCCGCAACCTGGGCCTGTGCCCTCACTGGGAATCCAGCCCTGACCTCCTGGTTCAGAGGTTGGTGCTCACCCCCTGAGCCCCACCAGCTGGGCCACCTTTGATATTGCTTTACTGGTCCTTCCCAGTTACTAAATCCTGTAATTACGCCTTCGCGGTGGTTTTCCTCGGAGCTTTCTCTGACCTCACTTCCCCCTCCAACACCTCCTCCTGCCCTACAGGAAGTGAAGTGACCCTCCCAGGGTCCCAGGGCAGAGCCTGGCCTCCGACACAGAGTGGGTGCTTCTGGACTCTGGTCCTGTCTGAAGCTTGCCTTCGGTTCCGCCCACCCACCACCCGCCGGTGACTTCTTGGGCATGAGCATGGCTTCCTCCGCAAGAAGCACTGCTGCCCCCTGCTGGAGCGCTGCTGTAAAGACACCGGGGCCGGGGCGGTGCTCCTGGGGCTGTGCCGGGCGCAAGGTGAGCAGCAGCCCCGGCTCCGCAAGCAGCTGATACACGGGCCACGGCCCCGCTCGTGGCTCTGGCTGCCCCGGCGATAGAAACGGGAAGGGGGAGGAAGGGACACTCACCAAGGTGGACTCGAACTCCAGGGAGATGGCCCCCAAGGCATTCTGCAGCTGCTCCTTCCTGGTGATGTCCATGATCACCACCTCGGTGGGCTCGCTCAGCTTGCGTATGTCCCACCACATGACCTGGTGGGAGGAGGGGCGGCGTGAGACCCGGGGCCCCGTGAGTCTCCTGGCCTGCGGCCCCCCTCACCTCCTCCAACTCCCTGGCGTCAGTCACTCTGGTCAAAAGGGGGTGAGACAGCAGCCCCCAGGGACAACATGCTTTGAGAATGACTGCTCTGGTGGACAGTCCCTCCCAGACTTGTCTGGCCATCAGAGTCATGGGCAGGCGTCACGAAATGCAGGTGCCTGGCTCCCCCCCACACCTACTGCATCGAAATCGCCAGCAGTGGGCCCAGCGTCCCTCTCCTTAAAGGCTCCCTCACTACGGCACATTGTAGCCATGTTACACATGCACACGCCCTCTGGGCCAGAAAGCCCACTGCCAGGGGCCTGTGCTATCCGTGTACCTGCCCATGTGTGCAACCATGTGCATGCAAACACATGCTTTGCTACATTTTTTTGGTAACAACAAAATATTAAAATCCTCTGCAATAAATGCTGCCATCCCCGATGCAGCCCCTAACAGGCACAGGGCAATGCTGATGACTCTGAAATCACCTCCAAATACACGGAGTGAAACATCAAGGCAGATCCACGTGGAGGGCGCGCAAACAGAGGGCGAAGAAGACAGACGCCTCTGAGCGCAGACACTACCCCTGGCGGGAGAGTGTGGTGTGGGCGGTGCCTCCTGGGACGGCGGCTGCCCTTTTGTGCCTGTTGCGTTTTGTCCTGTGCGCATGTGTTACGTAGTTTTCAATTCAATAATAAGATGCAAAGAAAATGCTCCCTGGTGATTGCAAGGGGGAACCAGGAAACTGTTACTGCTCCCCACCCCCTTCCCCTGCAGCACCTGGCCTGTGGGTGCCTGCCCGCCT